TGTATTATTATACTAGTTAAAACATTTTTTTTTGAAATGTATTTCAAAGTTAATATTATTAAAAAACCAAAAATACCAAAAAAACGAAAGAAAGAGAACATCGTAATGAACAACATATACCTTATACTTTATATAAATAAGGTGAAATTACTAATCATGGGTTAATAAAAAATATGTGTAGACATATTTAAAAATAATATTTTTTTTACAAATAATGATTTATATCATAATTAATAATATATAATTTAATATGAACTTTTTAAATGTATTCATATATATATATATATACAAAACAATATGTATTATTAAACTGTATGGAATTTTTATAAATTCATAATTTATAATAAATTTGTAAATAATGGTTAAAAACCATTGCCAACTTAATTTTAAAATGCCTAAAATATGTTTGGGCTAAACGAGAAAGGTAAAGTTTGGGCGAAACGGGTCTCACCCTTGTATTCGGTGGAACGACATAAGTATAGTAGGTCATTGGTATCTAAAAACACCTATGACCTATTATTGTCCACTTGAGAGTAGTGTTTGGAAAGGCCGTCTCTAANAAGTATGATTGAAAATCTTAATAATCTTAATAACACTTATCTATTTTGATTTGCAATAAATGATTTACTATTTTTTATCACGTCACTTAAATAGTTGATTAGGTTTTCAAAACAAATGGTTATTCCCACATAAGGAATAAGGTTTATTGTTTATATCTAACAACAAGTTGTATAGATTGTAATTTGTATTAGGCATCTGTATAAGTATTCTATACAATTTGTTTATCGTTTTACAGTAATATTTCATCCTCTTTTATTAACTTTCATACGTTAAATTGGTTATTATGTTAACAATGTAACTTGTGTGACGGTCTGAGATGCCGCAATATAATAGTTGTTCTATTAACATTACAAAAGCCCTTTCTATCACATGCAATGGTTGTGTATTAACATGACATGCCAAGTGTCAAAAACTCTCTAAAAGACTTGGACTATTTAAAAGTAGTTAATATATTATTTGGAAGCGTAACAAATTTTCTAGCATCAAAAGAGCGTCTCTACTGCTTGAAAATCTGGTCTGCACAGAAAATGTAGAATTATTTAAGATAAAAGAGATTATTCTTCAACTGAAAGATAGTTTTCAAAATTTCGAGGATGATACAAATGACAATTTTAATAATTTAAGGAATAAATTTAGTGTTATTGGTAAAATATAGACAGAAAATAATCTTTTGAAAACTCGTATAAACCAACTAGAAAATAAAATTTAAACCAATATTATTTCAAATCCCTTAAAAATCTTAAAAACCGGTAATTTAAATTGTCCATGCTTATTCAAAATCATATTTATTCTGAAATAGTAAAATTTATCGATATAAATCACACTATCAATAATTTATTGAAACTAAAAATAATCAAAAAAAAAAATCACCAAAAATATCCATTTCTTCAAAAACTAAAAATCCTAATGCCATGGGCTACTACAGCGATAATTAAATCCATACGATAAAGGGATTGTCTCCACACTCAAATTAGAAAACATTCTTTGAATTTAAAATTAAAAAAATAATATTTTAGTTTTAGGAACAAGCTTACAAAACTAATAAAAGAAGCTAAAATTATGTACTGCAAAACAAAATTAATTTAATTTGAAAATAACATCAAACTTAAATGGCAGTTAATTAGTGATATTATATCATAAAATAGCAAACCAAATAAATGTAATAAATTATTATATAGCGTTAATAATAACATTGAACGAAATAGTGAAAAACCAGCCTTTATCCTAGCAAACCAATTTAATAACCAGGTACTTGATAAGCATCACCTATGACTTAGTCATGCAATTAGAGAATCGAAAAGAGACAATAATAATTATAATAAATAATAATGATTTACTAATTGTATTGTTGTATGTCTACTATATATAAAAATAATATTATTTTAATATTATAGCACTTGCTAATATCGATACGACAAGTAAGTACAGTTTGTATAACTCTTACTTTTTAACGGATGTCTTAGTATTTTTATTTATAACAAAAAAACAATAAAAAATAAAATGGCAGGTTATATTTTTTAATTTTTTAATCGAAAATCTTTATAAAGTTTTAAATATAATAATTTTCGGCAATCTTATTATAGCATTGTGCACTCTACATTTCCATCGAGCCTATTTCTGCTTAAATGATAAATAATATTTTATTTAAATAGAAAAATATCGATTACCTAACTTTTAGGTATTTATTGCTTATGGGTAGTATTATTAAATGGTATTAACTATATTAAAAGAGTATAAATACATGATTACATTTTATAGGTGACGCATATGATTATGTTGAGCAACTGATGACTTTTGCGGATTTCGATGGTACTTTTACGTGAATTAATAATAATAATAATAATTTTAGAAGACTATTGTTTTTCTCACTTAAACTCTTAAAAGTTTTATCGGACTCAAAATGCTAAAATAATAATGGTAATATAATTGCTATAATCTGTAATAGACTTACCTAAGTTATAGCAACTTAATAATAAAATAATTTTTAGATTCGGAGAATAGCAAGTTATCTATTGGTTTTAATTTGATATTGGGTTTTTTTTTTTTTTGTCAGCAAAGAACTTTTTGAAAAGAAATCTCGCTCTTATCTATAGAATACAGTACCTGATCTGAAAAAAAAATTGTTCAAGGGGTTTTTGAAATAATTGGGAAAACCCCGAAAAAAATAGGGGAAACGGCAAATACTTAAGGTCCATGCACCACGTGATCGATTTAAATATTACTCCAATCGAAAAATGGAAGGAGATCGATTTTGTTCCTTTTAATATATAGCAATTTAAAATAAGTCGTTTAATAATGAGTGTGGGTCTATCAACTGACAACCATTCGACCAACAGGATGACCGACAATAATTTATAATGCCATGCAATTTATATTTTTATTTTAAAAATCGATTTTATCTATCAAAGGAAAATATAAGATTTCTAATAGAATAATATATAAAGTATTAAATTATAATGATACGAAATTTATGTTTTTATTTTTAATATAGGTATATTGTATAAAAATATATTCTATACTCCCTTAAATACCGCCTCAGACCAATTTACTTTTAGAAATAAAACCTTGAAAATCGGAGAAAAATTTTTTGTTAGAAAAATTTCTTATAGAAAAAAATGTAAAACCAAGACATTTGTCGCAGTGCCCATAATCTTTAAAATTCAAGAATAACAATTATTGTAATAATTTTTTCATAGAATTCACTTATTTTTAACTTTAGGAAGTTATTTTATTTATATTCTTATTTTATATTAATATTCAGTATCAATATTGGTATAATATACTGTTACATTAATGCATACAATTAAAATGTAATTAAATATTCAAATAATTCTATATTCTTTTTTGTAGAGAATAATGTCGAAAAGTCACATCCAAAACAATTTTGTGAAAGACTGGAAGCGAATATTGACAAACCACTTTCATCCATACTCCCAGATGAGAAACCTGATAAAATCTGACAAAAAAAAATGTATATTGTATGTTAAATTTTAATCTGCCTATTTTTCTGTTAGTAGATTA